AATAAAAGTTTAAGATTGCTTAATGTGCACTAAATGGGAAAGCATATATATTTGTTGTGCAATAAAATGTTGATTCTGATTATAGTATCAATATATTAAAGAGTTAATTTATAAGGTAACAAAGTCACATGCTACACGGTGAAATCTGAGCAGACATGGGGTAACCTGGGACAGTGTAAGCCAATAAAAAGATCGATTTGAAAGATGTCTTGAGATAACGCTCTTCATTCATAAGTGGACAGCTCTGCCGTCCAATGAGGGGCAGGCACTTCCCCTCACCGTGCAAACGCTGAGCTCGTATTTCCTCTCCGCCGACGGTCCCAGCAGCGGTGCGATGCTCACTCTGCAACCTTAAGCTTCATTTCTTCCCCCTTCTCTTCCCCCCAAGCGCCCTTAAAGCGGGGACACCTCGTGTCTTTTATACCTTTCTTCATTTTTCTTTTTCTCGAACAAGCAGCTCCAGGTTTTTGGACATGCCTAACATCGTGCTTTTTAGCGGGAGCTCCCACCACGACCTGTCCCAGAAAGTGGCGGATCGGCTGGGACTGGAGCTGGGGAAAGTGATAACGAAGAAATTCAGCAACCAGGAGACATGGTGAGTATATTTGGGATTTGCAGACTATGCTAGTTATCTTGACATTAACGCGTAACGGGTTTGTCTTCTCTTTTTGCCCTCAGTGCTTTGGCTCGGTGTCCCCATGTGGGAGGGTTAGCTTCTGGCTAACAATAGTTTACTATTCACGTCTACACGTGACTAGCTAACCACATGTAAACATAGCAGGTTAGCTTGCTAAAGTTGGGGCGTCCTTTATCGGACAACTGCGCTATCCTTATCATTGAGGACTTGTTTTATTACTTAAAATGCTCTGTTCACCTGTCTTGCGTGCGTTCAAAACAACAGGTGTAAACCAGCGTCACGTAACACTTTCTTAATGCCGTATTTTGTATCTGCGTCGCAAACTCCACAACGAGCTCGTGTCTTATCAAACTCGGCTTTGTAGCCATTTAAAGGGATTTTCTGTTAGCTAGGAAGACGCTACTTTTGAGAAGGGAATAGGCTGTTACTGCTGTTAAATAATTTAAGTTAAATTGTGGTTATTACGGTATAACTGATTCAAGCCTCGCTCGTCGTTGTCTCGGTTAAAGTGCGCTGGTGTGCGGGGGTCAACTACGTCCGATAATGGATGCTGGTTTACCCTGCTGTCATTTTAACACACTCTTGAGTTAGCTTGCTAACTTCATAGACCGAAATATGGCTAAACGCTTGTAAAGGCATCTGAAGGCATTAGCATACATTTAAAAAGTCCACAGCAGCCACAGAGATACGTTACATGTTAAATAAGAGCACAGCTTGTTTCTGCTGCCTCTGTGTATGAGGGAAGATGGTTAACTGTCCACTGGTTGTGTCACATGCGCTTAATTTGAGCTTATATCCACAATACCGAGCTCACCATTAGTTTATCCAGTGCCCACACGCATGCGTCGACCCTTGTTTAATAACTTTCAGCTTTCCACGGGGCTTTTATTACTTTTACTGCTTGTGGACTTGAATGTGTGCAGCCTGTCTGAACTCTCCTGCGGGATGATGACCTTTTGGTTTCATGTTTGCATGCTTGTGCTGACCCCGAGCTCTCAGCCCCCAGCAGCTTCAAATTCAGCACACATGGAGCTGCTGGGCTTCTTTTGGACGGAGTAACACGAGAAATGTAGTGTCTTCATTTTTTGGGGGGGGGGGGCTGCAGTGACCATTTCATTGCTGAGGGGGTTACTCAGAGAGGATTTCCTTGTGTGATGCACTCGACTGCATCTGTTGTTTGGTCATCTGCAGTGTCTCTTAAAGGTGTCTGGCTCCTTTTTCCATTCACAGCTTTTAAAAAACAAAAATCCAGGGAAACTGTTGATTATCTGCGGCGTGTTTGCTCTCCTGGGAACGCAGCTGTTTGTGCGACACAAAACAAAGATTATTTTCTCATCCTCTCACAATAAAGGGAGGCGATGGCAGCTCTTCTCAAATCTTCCGACTAAGACTTCACTTTGTGACAAAAACAAGAGCGTAAATCCCTGGGAATAAAACGGCATGGAGACTTTTTATTTGTGCTCTTTTTCCCTTGATGATCAGGCTGGGGAAAATACTCTGTTACTCAGCTCAAGCTGATGGAGTTGAAAGACCCAGACATGGAGGATAAAGGGAGAATTTGAGGCTATTAGTGGACTAACTTTGCAGACTTGGAGCGATATACAGTATCAGTGTTTGCACAGCCTCTGCTGATGTAATTAAGTTCTATTAACTGTTTGTCTAATCAATATTTGGGTAAGTCTGAGATTACCTGTTAACATCACCTGTCCCTTAAAAGAAAGCTGGCAGTGAATCCAGGTCAGATCAGGTTCAATGAAACGATTTCAATACGCTGACCTGTTGGTGCGCTTACAGATGAAGCTGCAGGTAGTGACACCTGAACAATACAGTAGATCAGTAATTGGATTACATGAGCTTTTTATATAAACAGAGTAGTGGCTGCTGTCACTTCATCACACTTAATGTTTGACTTTTGTACAGCTGCCACCATGTAAAACTGCAGCTTTTGTGGCAGCGTGACTCTCCCTCTGCATAGCTGTGCGTGCAGTGATCACATGACTGAGGTTGACGGGACTTGGTCATCTCCCACAGAGGAATGTCACACACACACACACACACACACACAGTGTCAGCTTCACATGTTCAACCTGAGCAGAGGGACTCAGCCCAGACTTGGCCTTTAACACTAAAACCTGCAGTGTCCCACAGTGCAGTGTGTGTGAGTGTCAATATAAAGGTGAATGTGTTGTTGGGGATTTTCTGAGCATCACAGAATCCTGTAGTTTTAATATCAGATTTCTAAAATAAAGTGGTCGAGTGCTTTGTTGTTGTTGTTGTTTTGACTGATCCATCCTTGAGTTTTTCTTTTACCTGGATTTAAGCAACAAGACACCAAAGTTCTGTTTCTGTCTTTGTGCTCAGTTTATGTCTCTGGTAATTTTGCATCTTTGGCCTTTTGGAGATTTTTTGTTTTGAGGCGATATTCTGTCTCGAGTCTTTTAAAGTCTCTTTGTGGCTTTTTAGTTGTTTAGCTTCTCTTTGTGGTCTTGTGCCTCTGACTTGTATCTCTTTGGAAGTGTTTTTACGCTGTGGGTTTTCTTTATGCATTTTTTCCTTTTTGCGTCATTTTGAGTCTGTTTTTGGTGACTTTGAATCTTTTTGACTGTTTTGCTTTGAGTCTCTTTGGTAACTCTGAGGACACGTTCTGCGTCTTTAGAAACTCTAAAGCTTGTTTCTCGTCTCTTTTTTTTGTGGTCATTTAAAGTCTTTGTGGCTTTCGTTGTGTCTCTGTGGTCTTGTACCACATTGGTTGAATTGTCTGTTTACGTGTGGTTTTGGTCGTTTTGTCAAATGTCTCATTGTCTCTTCAGTCTTGTGGGTTTCTTTGGTCGTTTTACTCAAAGATCACAGGGTCGTGTGTCTGTGTGGATGTAAAATATATTCTTTTGCCTGCATTTTTGTTATACAGTGTGGAAATTGGGGAAAGTGTGCGTGGTGAAGACGTGTACATCATTCAGAGCGGCTGTGGGGAAATTAACGACAACCTAATGGAACTGCTAATCATGATAAACGCCTGCAAGATCGCCTCGTCATCCCGTGTCACTGCCGTCATCCCCTGCTTCCCCTACGCCCGACAGGACAAGAAGGACAAGGTAAACGCCTCACCGCTCTGAAACCCTAACACCAGAAAGAGTTCAGAACCAAAAGTACAAACGTCACCTCTGCTTGTTCCTGCGAGCCACATATATATTTATATGACTTTAATCCTGTAAGCTGGCACTTATTCACAGGCTGCAGTGCAGCTGTGAGCTTATACAAACATAAATGGTCCTGTGGGCGCCGGCTCGAGTGGAGGCTGCTGGGTAATGAGTGAAAATCTGTCTTTGTAGGAGACGTTAAAATGCAGATTTCAAAATCTCAAGAACGAGACCAAACAGGTCCCCGGAGAACGTTTCTGCCTCCCCTCTGGCAGGTTGACACATTAACTTAATCGCACTGACGTTTTAATAAGAAATCCCTCAAGGTCAGCAGCGGCGTCGGTTCGCAGGCAGACTGACGTGTCAGAAACCGGCTCAAGCTGCTGATCTTGTAAATCATTATCTCGTGTTGCCACAGTTGTTGGTGTGATGAGTGTGGAGAATCACGTCTGCACGAAGCAGCGAGATGGACGCGGTTTTCAACTAATTAGCACCTGCAGAGGTTCTGATCCAGCGAATTAGCGTCCTGTCTGACTCCTCCTTGCTTTCCACCTTCACTCTGCCTGCGTGTGCGCCGAGCTCCACGTATCTAGTAAAGTCTCATCGTAGCACGTGAGGGTCAAAGCTCTGTGAGCACTGTCTTACCTCATCCTCGTTTACACCAGATAAAGATTCTACTTTAAAAACGTGCCGATTTCAGGCTTCCTGCCAGATTCTGTTCGTTTGGAAACGCTATACAAACTTAACCCGGTTTACATTTCACAACACAAACAGCCAAGCTGTCGCTGGGATTTATATTGTCCAACATGGTGCATGTGTTGGTGGCTGTCAGGTTACTGTTCTTAAAGAAGGGCAACAGGAGAAGAGGCTGATGTGTCAGATTACACAAGAACTGGACTGAAAATCAGTGGCAGCAGTGATGGGGGGGATCGGTCACATACTACTCACAGATATGACAAGACAGCCGGCCTTGAGTTCAGGCTGTGTTGAAATACAAAGGTAAATATTGACTTTCAAGCTCATTAGAATTGTGCAAACTCAGTTTTTGTCCTATATGTTGTATTTCTGTTCTGTTTGCACGAGCAACAACAAATCTGCACCATTTCCTCAGCAAACTATAAAGACATGAGCTGTGACTTTTGCACTACAGGATATAATAACCATATTTACCACATTCATTCTGAACAACAAGCTCATTTTGTGCTAGATTATTATTATTATTATTATTTTTTAATTAAATTTGATCGAGGCTGAAAAAGCTGGATCTCTGAGGCCGCCCACCTCCACGATAAATAAGCGGAAGGAAATAGATGGATGGAGAAAACAGCTCTAACTTCCTACAGAGCTGTAATGTGTTTCAGGTGAATAATGAACGTCCTCCATCTTTTTATCTCACTTCAGACTCCACTCACAGCTGCTCACTTTATCCTGGTGCAGTGAGCATCTA